AGGAAAGATGCTGCCTTGATTTTATGCCTCAAAGGCTCCAGTATTTCAAGTAAAAAACAAAATTAACTAGAATACAAATGCACGTTAAAAAATACTGGTTCGGCACATTATGCATGTCAGGAAGGAGGCTATGTCTCAAAATCTCTCAGATTTCTAGAAACGTATAATTTAGCCAACTCCTAAGGGGTCCAGAGCTGATGGCTATGAAAGTCTGAGAGAATCTGCCCTTGCAGATTCAGACACCAAGCAGGGATGGCTGTTTTGATGCTTAGGCATAACGATTTATCTGTGGTTATCAGCTGAAGGGATCAGATAGGTGCACCACGCAACGCTGAGCTGCCTCTACTAACGTCAGAATAATCCTGTGCCTGCAGTGTGGCAATTCGTAGAGAGAGGTAGGTCCTGCCACCTTCATTCTTACAAAATTGTACTTAACACCATGGAATAGCCACAGGGAAATCAGGGAACCCGTCAGTGCAATTGGGGAGTGGAAGAATGCAGGCTGGCTCTGACAAAGAGGAGCATATAGTTAACACCTCTCTTTGGTGTTGATGCATATTGATTCTTTGTTTTATCAGTTAATTTCTTCCTTTCACCAAGGTAATGGCATTTCTTTCCTTTTTGGGAGAAATTTGGAAGCTGTTCACATCAAATTACATCAGGCAGGTATACCGTTATGTCGTACAATACCTGACAACATGACAATGCCTCGTATAATCTGATGTACTACAAATTATTACATTCCCTTTCCTCTGCTGCTACTTTCCTTATTGTTATTGAGGACGTACGCAGACCTAGAAACAAAACATAACTCCCAACAGGTTATTGGATAGCTTGTATTTTCCAAAATAACTTTACTAGCAGTACACTGCGTAGTATCCTACTGAGCAAATCCATGAAGACCCAGGCCTATCTGAAGAGATATTGGTCCTCGGCAAAGAGGAATTTAAACTTAAATGAATCTTTAGCCATGACAAACAGTTAGAACATTCTGGTTATTTAGATTAAACTTATTTTGTTCTTGATAGCCTCCTTCTAGCAATCTGAGATTCATCTGGAATTTATTTGTACTGCACTTCTCTTTTTCATCGGTGGACTTAGGTCCTTGCCAGCTTTAACTCCATTCTCTCTGTTTCTTCCCTACTACCTTTTTAAGATCTTCGTCTGTTTCCTCCTGGTTTTGTTTACCTTTCTTTTCCGATTTAGTTACAGTCTGAAGACCTTTCTCCTCCTTAACTTTCGGTTTGGCCTTTATTAGCCCAACTTCTGTTGTTTTAGTCTCCGCCTGCTTGACCTTCTCAGTCGTCTTTGCTTCTCCTTTTCCATCCTTCACTTCCTTTTTAACTTTTGCTTCCACTTTAGCGCTCTTTACTTTCTTCTCCTCTGCAGGTAATAAAGAAAAAGTTTTCAGTGTCATTCCTTCCGCCCAGAATCATACTCAATGCCATTTATTATATTTTGTGCTATTACTAATGAGTATTTCTTCACCATTAACACCTTGCTTAGAACATATAAAAGCTATAATCCCCCAAAATCAGACAGACATAGACAGAAATATGAGATGCAAGCATGTTTTGTCTTCAGTCTTGTACAAAGTATTTAGCTAATACTAAGGATAGTAGGCTATCGCAAATAATATTCAACGTTTGTAGTGACGATGTGTTAGCTTTTATGGCATAAACCAGGGAGAAAAAGGTTGGTCATGAAGCAAGCAAATATGGAAGGTACTTTCAGGCTAACTCTGAGTAACTTCAGACTTCAGAGAGCAGAAATAAACTCAGTTGTAAGCTATAAGTGTCATAGATTTAAAGCGTGGCTATTTGTAACGGTTACTTTTATGCACTGATTTTAGGTCTCTGCCCAAGAATTCTTGAGTCTCCCTCTACACCAATTCCCCAGGCTGAAGGACCGGTCTGAGACGGGCCAATTCGTGATGTGCCCTGCAACAGGAGGAGGTTTCCAAGCAGAATTACTGAATTACTGAATTGTAAATATCAGTGGCTGAAGCTATGCAGAGGTTGGTGATACCAGGAGCATTCCTTCTGCTCGTGTGTATCAGCACCTTTTTCTCATCTGAGATGTGGGTACTGACAATATGTGTTTCTAGGTCACTTCAGTGGAAAATACAATAGGTTAAGATGCCACTGAAAATGGTTTAAACTAATCTGTTTAGTGTGATGTTCATGCTTCTGTTTTCTTCATAGCTCTGAAGGTCTCCATCCTTGAGGCAAAACTTGAATGCTACAAAATCCATGTCTTTTGTAAGACTCCGGACTTCTCTTTCTACTAAGACACTGACCTGACTAGATTGATTTTATCAATATGTAAACTGAATAGTTCTACCTATTCTAAAACAGAACACAGATATTTTTATAAGGGTCAATTCCTACTTTCAGACAAAGCCACAACGTTGCTGAATACATTGCTGGCTAGTGAAGGAAGAATTTCTTTAACTAGTTGTAGTGAAAATGTGCATGTCAAATCACTTATGGGCAGGTCTACTTCTTTTTCAGGAAAATGGTGGTTCATACCTTTAATTTTCATCTTTGAAATTTCAAAATATTTTAAAAGAGATCATGTATAGAACTAACCCCAAGAAGTTCTAAAGATGTTTTAATCCAAATTTTATTTTAATTTCATTATATCATATAGCTGATTTTTCATACGCATTATATTCTCTGCTCCAATAAAATAAAGTATATGATTTTTAATGTAAATTCTGGTTAAAAATGTAGTAAAAATAAATAAATAAATACCTTTAGGAGGAGGTTTCTTTTCAGCTTTTTCATGTCTTTCAGGTTTGTCTTTTTGAATTACTAGAAATGAGTACAATTGTATGTTAGGAAAAAAAAAAAAACAACAACAAAGAATGAGAAAATATTGCTAAAACAAAAAATCATCCCTGGAAGTTTCACATTTCTTCATGATTCCTGTTTTTTGGTTTGCAAAAATCTTGCTTCTTTTTCTCAGGTTCACACACTGGGGTAAAAAGCTTCAAAATATCTGCTGAGACTCACTTAACCAGAAGACAAGTCTTTCACACAGATCTGAAGCTTTGTAGGGAATACTTTTACTGTGTGTTCCAGATGACACAAACTTGCTCTGCTCAATCTCTGAGCAGAAACAGGCTTGATCTTCTTGTGCGCCAGCCAACATGAAGCTGTGTAGCTACATTCGTCTTACAGAAACGGGATTTTCTTAGTTTGGGCTCACTGCCACACAAACACAGCCACAAGCCTGGTGCTCACTTCAGAGCCCAGCTCGGGTGAGTTCATGTCTGCACAGGATACACTGTGTAAACACATAGAGTGCTGTGTCCCAGAAAGGCTGAAAAAATTTTGTGTGGAGACTTCTATCTTTCCTCTCTTGGTTGCCATCCAGACATATTTCCAGAACAAAACAGCCTTGAGAGGTAATTACACTTTTTTTCAAGTGATAACTGCATAATAGCAACATCCCCGCGAACTGAATTCCAGCCTGGAATTGCTGCCTATATGAGCCATGATGGATATTTAGACTTGTTTTTTCTTTATTTTTTTGAGATAGCTGTTTCTTAGATGACATGTTTAAAAACCATTCATATCACTGAAGCTTTCTGGAGCCTTTAACAAAGGCTGAAGAAACACCCTCAGTCTTTTCATTGAGCGTAGAGAAAATCTTCTGACCGTGGGGGAAGTAGCCACCTGATTTTAGTACGCCTGTTCCCTGAATTTGGCCTGGACGTGAGCATCCTCATTTCCTAGGGACTGCAAGTGGTTGAAATGGCCCCTCAGCACTGCTGGTAGCTGACCCGGTTTAGAGCAGACCCCAGACAAAAGGGAGGTGAGCCCGGCGATGGATGGCTCAGCGCACTGCCGGCATAAATGTGCCTTAGGAAGCGCTGAAGGCATCGAGTGCCCTAATGCACTGAGTCCACCCTCAGGGACTCACACGCCATGGGAACGGTTCAAGAGAAAGTAGCATGTCATGCTGTGGCAGCAAATCTCCCCAGCTGCAAAGTGGCCAAATTCTTCATAAAATTTTCCAGCCAGTGACTAGAGTCATGGCTGCTATTAAACACATTAAAGCTCTAAGCGATTATTTGGTTAGCTAGCAGATGATAAATGGGTAAACAGGCTGGCTGCTCATTAGGAACATCTCAGTGATTCTTGGAAGTTATTTGCTTTTCAAATCTACACAGACACCGTGGGCATTTATTTTCTCCAGATTACTTCAGTGTGATTTCACTTTATTAAAAAAATCCTACACTTTCAAATTATACATTGAAAGTAGAAAAGATGACCAAATATCTATTTTAAAGAGATACTGGACAAAGCGTACTTTTCAAAATCTATCAAGGCTTTAAGTCTTCATTCCACTTTTTCTTTCTTCACTCCCACTTCATTTTACATTTCTCCTTAGAGTTAGGTCAAGTCCAATAAAGACAGATTTCTATGTTTGAATCTATATTGTCTGAATAAATTTGAATTAAACCTAATTAACTCATGTGCCCATTCATCATCAGATTAATCTGAATGCCCTAACAGACTGATACTAAGATACATTGCATAGGGTTGTTTCTTTTTTTCAAGAGCTAGCTGAGTGAAAGTAAGAAGAGATAGAGACTGAAACCTAACTTCATTATAGAAATATCTGGCTTCTAAAAAGGAATGCCTGTTAAAAAAAAAAAAAAAAAAAACCAACCAAAAAACTTCAGAAAAAACGTTCAAATGCCAAGCAATAATAAATGTTAGTCTTTAAAAAATAGCATAACAGGGCGAGCTGATTGGATTTTTAAATCCCCCTGTCCAAGTCATGGCTAAAGATGGAATTATCAGTCAAAAGAATACTGAAAATCATCTCTCACACACGATATTGCTTCAGAATATATATGACAATTAGTAGATATGTAAATCTTAACCAAAACCACTTCTGCTATGGAGGACAGTACAAATCACGTATTGAAATGAAAATGTTATTGCAAAAAAATAAAGGCAAGAAAATGAAAATCTGTTTTTGGTTATGATGGAAAACCCAGACTAAGAGATAGTAAACACTCTTGCATTAGGTCTCCACCAGACTGAAAACTGATACACAAGAGAAAGCCTTCTTTACAGGCAAATTACTGAATCCCATTGTGGAGGAAAAGACATCAAGGAATGGAAATATAACAATCATAGGCTTATTTCTTTAGCTGCACAAGGATGATTCAAAATTACCTCTGTGCATTCAAACAAGAGAACTAGGCAAGAAATATATGCTGAGCAAGATTTCACTCAGGGGCTGATCAAGACCTGCTCAAACAAAAGTGAGAGCACCCAGAAAATATACAGCATGGACTTTAAGAGCTTTATACTTTAAATACGCATCTCCACACTCTCCCAAACTATATAAGCATAAAAATCTAAAACTGTACAACATCTAACACTAATTACCTTTAGAAGGTGCTTTCTTTTCATGTTTTTCTGGCTTTTCAGGTTTCTCTTTGTGAGTAGCTAGAAATAAATATAAATAACATTAATGGTTATTAAAAAATAGAAATGTTGCACTTTAAGCGAGATAAAAGAGAAAAAGGAGAAAAAGCATCAAGACACACAACTAGGCACCATGGCTACTGATGCAAAGAACCAGAAAGATTGATTCAGCTGCTGCTGTCTGCTGTTGGTGCCAAAACATGTGATAGAAACTTTCAATAACTCGTCTACCACCCCTGAGGTCTCTGCCATCGGCTGGGGGAGAAATGGCCTTTCTGGCACAACAGTAATCCCGTGAAAGAAGTCAAGAAGAGTCATGCTTATTTATGTTGTTTACTGGTTCTTTTTGTTTGTTTTGTTTATTTTTGTTTTTAAGCTTTCTTGTTTATTACTTTGCTTCATTTCTGAAGGATTTGCTGAACTCCACATAACAACCAACAGTTTTTCCAGCTATGAATGATTAAACACTATAATTAATTACAAATCTAATTGCAATGGCATTATAACTAATGCTCTTTGGGGCGCTTTGTTTGCTTTTAATTTCCACTTCACAAATTGAAATAAAGTAGACTGTAGTGACTCGATTTCTGGCTCAGGTTTCAGAATACACCTGAATAGTGCAATAGTCCCTGAGTGGTGGGTAGTCTGGTATACTGTCCTATGTGGGCTGATTTGCTAAATTTTTGCGATTGATGTTTACACAGTAACTTGTCCATGGGCGTGTAGAACTGATATTTGTCTGTGTTCGTATCCCCTGAGGTAGCCTACAGGGACCAAGCGTGTGAAAAACACTCAGCTGCCTATTTGACTCCGGCATATAGTTTATACTAAGAACACAAAAATGTATGCGTGAGCATTGCTATGTACTCTCCAGCCTTGTGTTGGTGTTTCAAAAGAAAGTAAGAATTGTGGAAGATAAAGCAGTGCTAGATACCTATTTATTGCAAGTAACTACTTACAGAATTAGTCCTGCCTTATTCAATGCCTATGCAATAGCCCTACTCAGCACCATATTTAAAATGGTTTTTTAAGTGGCCTCCCTCATTACCTTTGTTTACAGGTTGTCAGGTGTTTTTATTGGATGACCATATTCTCTTAGCAACCATACGTACTGTGACTGTTGGAAATACTCAGAGATTACTGGGAAATTATATTTATCTAGGGTATAAAATATGTTATTTCCATTCCTCAGAAAAAAAAACAAAACAAGAAACGTGCAGAAGGAATACGAAATGCTACTCAGTCCATATATCTGCAAAGCTTTACATGATCTTGTGGTTTTTATTCCTGAAGTTCTATAACATTTTTTCCAATCAAAGGGATAGATAAATGAAAATTGAGTAGACAATTAGTTCTGGGGTACCTCAAAATGTCAAATAAGTTCTGACATTAAATCATTACCTGCATGCCTTTCCTTTTTTTCAGGTTTTTCTTGTCTTTCCAGTTTGTCTTTATGGGTCACTAGGAAAGAAGAAATGTGTTCATATTTATTAAAAAACAAAACAAAACAAAACAAAAAAAACACAACTGTGGAAAAACTTAAGAATCAAAAATAATTCTACCAAGATAAGCCCTAGGAGACAAAACGGTGAAGTGTGTTACTCCTGAGCTATCCCCTGCGTATCTGCACAGCCTTCATCATACCACCTGGGTGTGAGCAGACAGCTCTGGCTAACGAGTTACTGCTTACTGCCCAGGCCATGGTAACATGCCCCAGCGGTTTACTACAGCAACACCATCGCTTGCAATTGTCTGTCCATTCCTGAAGAGAGATTTTCTAAAAACTGCAAGGACTGAGGCAGGGCTCATGGTAAATGCTGCTGCCGGCACCAGAAAGAGGACATCACCTGGGCCAGCCCGTACTCTGTCAGGCAGAGGCTCGTAAAAACCCTGGAATCAATCCTGGAGTGCAAGAGCATCACATGCACAAATGACACATCTGTCACTTGCCAGCTGGCTTGAAATGGATAAGCAGTAATGGATATGGATAGCTAGTAATGGATACAGATAGCTAGTAATGGACACTAGCTGAGATCAGTCCCTGGCAATGATGATCTCAGAGCCATAATTAGATGCCCAGTACATGCAAAGTAAAAACTAACATTATGACAGTGGAAACTGTATTATGCTATCCACTCAGTCACATAACATTTTCCACTCACTTTTCTTAGGATTTTACACAATAATTTTCCAGTTAATGGGAAATAAGCATGTGGATTTTAGAGTACTTCAGAAAAATCCACTGTGAAACTACAAGTCTGGTGGAGATTTCATCCCAGTTTCATAAAACTCCCTTTGTCAAACATGAGAAAATAAGGACCTTCTTTTACAGTACCATGAATTCCATATCTAACTGGAAGCAAAAGAAGGGTGGGGAATATTCAGGCACTCACATTTTTTAGAAATATAGTGAAGAAATACATGAGGAAGAGTTCCTGACATAGCCAAGTCGCTTCTAAGTGACTGACACACTTCTAATTATTCTCTGTGTCATTAGATAACTTTCCTAAACTTCATCACAGAGTTGATTAGAAATTAGAACAGGATGTTATTTACACTCTCTGTTATCTAAATCTTGAAAAAGGAATGTATTTACAGGAGCAAATAAGCAGTGAAAATACAGGGGTATGGTGAAACTTTGAAACAGTGAATACAGAGAACCTCTATACGCAGTAGTGTTTTAGTAGCAATTGTAGCAATAGGTCACTAAACAAAACTAATACATTCTCTTTAAGATAAAATACAGCTAGGTACACAGAATATTAGTAGGAGTTATGACAAGTTAAGACAGTATAATAATTCGTATTGTTCTTCATTGGCTATCTGAGACTGGCTGGGATAATTTTTTCCTGTTCTAAGAAACTTTTAAAAAAATTAAATATTGTTCTCCTATCAAATCAAATTGAAGAGTTTCCCAAGTCTTCCACAAAGTAACAGGAGAATTCTTAATGATACATTCATGTTTTAATATGGGACATCATAGTCTTTGCTCTGTCATTTTTCCAAATTTCAGGAAATATTTCTCTTTTTACCACTGTTCCATTTTCTAGTAATAAATATTCATTCTAACAGAAACCTGAACTTCTGTGCCTGCCATTAACCTCTAGAGTCAGTCTTGCCAACTCAATGTATTTTGAATTATTTATATAAAATGAAAACGCTCCAATCAGAGACCATTAGAAAGGCCTCGTCAAGCACAGATTTCAGGAAGGTGCACGTTCGCTTGGGTTGTGAGACTCATGTTCTTGATTTGAAATAAATCAGCTGCGGCTGCGTATTGGGTCTTCCCCTTTTTTGGGTGATTTATTATGACCATTGACCTACTTGATCTTTCAGAACGGGTTTCTTCCTCCAGCCTGAGACTTCATTAATCACATTTTTATGTAGAGGACATGTTCTCAGAAGGCTTAAAGTGTTTTGATAAGTAGGTATGTTCCAACAAAATTCCATTTTGCAAAAAAAAATCCTCCCAAGGCAAGCTAGATGGTGGCTCTTGGAACCCAGCGTTAACTCATGAGTCGTGGGTGGAGAGGAAGTGTTATCCTGATTCTGACTTCTACAACAGGTAGATCTGTAATTTGTTGTTGGCATACACCAACAGCAAATAAGTAAATCCTCTCTAACACCCTCTCCCCATCATCTCTGAAATGAGTCTGGGGAAATTGTTTTTCTAAGGCAGGTCTCTGAAGCAGAATGCTTCCAGGGACCATGCCCTGTATGTTATAATTTACTCATTATGGTTTGCTCAGAAGCATTCCCAAAGACAAATATTATGCTTGGATTTATTAAAGAAGAATAAAAAAAGGCACCTATTTATGCTCTGGGCATCTTTTCCATACGTTAACAATACAGTAAAAACTTATTCATTACTCTCTGAATATAATTTTAGCCTTTCTGCAGAGTGATGAATTCAAAATTCTTTTAAAATCCTCATTCTCCTTCCCAGCTGGCTTTCACAACACCTCCTCTGTCCTTAAACACAATTGGGATTTACAAGAAGAGTCTAAGAGTCAATAGATTAGACTGTTTTGAACCACTGGTAAAGAGACAAAGAACATCAAATGCTGAATACATACCCTTTAGGGGTTCCTTCCTCTCAATTTTTTCTTGTTTTTCAGGTTTGTCCCTGTGAATTACTAGAAATAATAATAGTAATTAAAAAAAAAAAACCAACAAACAAAAACCAAAAAAATCACCATAAATCTGTAATCTGGAGGTATTATGTACACTTATTATTTCACCAAAGTGATCAAGGAAAAATATTTGCAAAATATAATAATGGATTTTAGCTCTGAGTCACAGGTACTAGATGATGTATAGACCTTCTTAATGTCAATATTTAGTTCCAGGTCCACGAGAAGTATTTTTCCTTGAATGTGCTTTCAGACATTAGACCATATTTTTGTCAAATAAGTGACTATTTAGCAACCATAATCTAATCTGTGGGATCTCTTTTGGTCCTATTACACAAGCACCCTGACTCTAAGATTTCTGACAGAGGAAATTATTTTTGGTCCTTGACAGCATTGCTTTCTATTCTTACCAAAAAACCGCTAGCACATTTCTTTCCATGCTTTTTTTTCCTTTATTTTTAGCTGTTACTTTAGCCACAGAATGGATTAACAAGAAAACAGCTCTTTTAATTAGAGTGTAACTTCCAGAAGAGCAGCTGTTCAAAGCACAACCAACTACACATCCCACAGACAAACACGAATCCTTACAAACTCTATTGCCCACCCAACTTTCAGGCCATGTTTTTGGACACGGCTGTATTCCACATTCTAGTGATGTGGATAGGCAAAAACTTTCCTTGTCAACCTCTACCCCTAAAAGACTAGCATTTTGCAATTTCACAGAAAGAAGTATTTTCTTTGCAGTACTCAAGTTTCTGTAAACAAGTAAACCACAGAAAATACAACTGATTAGAAGACAACTCTGAGCTTTATACACAAGCACAGTAACGTTTTTGCATTTATTCATTTCACTAGCTTTGCTGCAAATGTAATTTCACAGAGGTGCAAACGTATTTTTGTTGGTTAAATATTCCCTTATTAGAAAATAGGCCCATCTCTTTAAGAAAAATTATTCCAAACATTCAGTAATTTCATTATGTCTTTCATGTGTTTGTATTATCCAAATACATTTCCAGGTGAATTATTGTTGATAACAATTAGCAGTACAGTGGAAAGAGATTGAAAGGACATTTTTCAAAGCCTTTAAGGAATGTGGACAACCAATTTATGCTAAGAAAAACCAGACTGTGAAGAATGCAGCGGCACCAGCAATGTATTATTGAATGAATTACAAACTGTAACTCATTCAGTTGCTTTAGGACATCTAGTAGCATACCAATCAACAACAGTCTCAATTCTCCCTATACCGTGTAAAACTTTTTGAATATTTTTGCAGAAACTGTAACATGCTTTTACATCTTATATTTGTATTAGCAGGTCCCAGCTCTGTGCAAAACACTTCAAGCCAGCTTGTTGTCAGTTTTGGATGGGGCAATAGCACAGTTTTGCAAACAATATCTCTGTGATCATCAATGGCAGTGAAACATGAGCTTCTGCACATCGGACAAAAGCCCTTGTAGCCTCTATGCCAAAAAAATACAGCTGAACTATGCAGAACAGACTAGCAATCAGAAAACTTGTGTTTAGCCACAGAACATCTTACTTGTGTAAGGGAGACTGTTGTGGGGTTTTTTTAGTTTATTCTAATTTCTCTGCGTCCAGCTCTGGAGCTTTCAGCACAGGAAAGACATGGACCTGTTGCAGAAGGTCCAGAGGAGGTCCAGAAAAACGATCAGAGGGCTGGAGCACCTCTCCTATGAGGACAGGCTGAGAGACTTGGGGTTGTTCAGCCTGGAGTAGAGAAGGCTCCGGGGAGACCTTACAGCAGCCTTTCAGTACATAAACGGGGCCTATAGGAAAGATGGGGACAAACTTTTCAGCAGGGCCTGTTGTGACAGGACAAGGGGTAATGGCTTTAAACTAAAAGGACATAGATTTAGACCAGATCTAAGGAAGAAACTTTTTTACAATGTGGATGGTGAAACACTGGAGCAGTGTCATAGTTTGGGCAGAGAGGTGGTAGATGCGCCATGCCTGGAAACATTCAAGGTCAGGTTGGACAGGGCTCTGAGCAACCCGATCTAGTTGAAGATGTCCCTGCTCACTGCTGAGGGGTTGGACTAGATGACTTTTAAAGGTCCTTTCCAACCCAAACTATTCTATGATTCCATGATTCTCCATAGCATTTCCCTATTTCATGCACTGGTAAAAAAAAACAAAAACCAAAATGAGCTTTGAACAGCACTAACTGAATTGAGCACCAGCAGACCTTAAAGTGGACAGAAAAATCTCATTTAAAGTTCCTTCACATCATCAAAATTGAATAAAGGGCTAAAGTGCAAGGAAATATTAATATTTGCGTGTACTCCAAGCTAAAAACATGGAGAAGGGATCAGTTGGCTCCTTCTTAAGAAATAAAAGTAACTTGATGTATCTGGGCAGGGAGCCTGGAATGTGGATAAGCAGAGACCAGGCTGGCATAAGCATAAGCTATTTTTCTCTTCCCAATGATAGGCCGAAGGCGATCTCTGGTTTGTCCAAGAGCCCTACCCTGTGTGTTGATATCCCCTTAGCCTCAGAGCTTGCTAATCTCAGATTGTAATGTTTACCATTACCTCTTATGGACACTGTCAGACCTATGGCTTTTGGGTAGAACCTTATCCGGGGAGGGCAGGTGTTGCCAAAAGTTAAAGGGTTCATGTTTCAGGGCTGTGACGACTGGCCATTTTTGACTCTTTAATCACAGTGCAGCAGGGACACCAAAGTCCACAGAAGGGACCAAAGTCCACGTTTGATCTGACAAACTTAAATATGATTTTTCTTTTGTATATTAACTCTGTTTTTCCCCTGAAATCTTTTCATGTTCAGCTTCATATGTAGTCCCAAAAGCTCTGTCATAGAAAATACTTCACTGTCTACAGATCTTTTCCAGATTTAGTCACTTCCGTTATCAATTTCTTTGTAAAGGACAATGCCTGTTTTCAAGCCCACAGCGCTTAGGTGCAAGCATTTGGTTTTAGAAATAAGCCAGGCTGGCCGTACTGCCATGTTTCTGTGAAACAAACTAGAGGTAACAAGATTTTCTTTTTTTTTGCATATAAAAACCAAAGAGAAAGCACAAAAATGTTTTTAAGGCTGCGAAGTCAAGCACTTTTCAGCTGAAAAATGCTGGAACTAAAACTGCTTATTCAACTTTAATTCAACCATTTTATTTGTTTTATGACACACTTTGTAATTAAAAGATCAACTCTTTTTTTAATAGGGTGCTGGATTCATACAGAAAAAATAAAAGGAACAACTAAAATGAGTTTTATGGCAATTATGTAAGCTAAAATTTTCCCACAACTTAAAGAAATTTTCTTGCAAAAATACCTTCCTTGCAAATACCAAAAAAGTATAAGCTCAGAATGAACTATTAATAGCATTGGAAAAAATATAACACACCATCCTAATTTTCACTAACCTAGATTTTGAAAATTGCTGAAACATTTTTATATGACTTTGAATGAAAATTCAGCCTGAGGCAAAAAGATGAGCATGAAAAATTTCATCCTCAGTGACTGGAGTGTGGTAAATTTATAAATAATCTAAAATAGGAGCTCATAATGGAAAATTTTAAGGTAATTTAACAATGTATTCCAAATTTATTCATATAAGAATATTGCTATCTACTTCACATAAAATTAAAAACAAGCAACATAGCATATATGTGATTTTTCCAAATTTCTGTCATCTAATAGTATATTTGATTTGCATCATGTGGAAGACATAGTGAAGGGCAATGTGATTTAGTTTTTCTTCATTAAAAGATTTGAGACAGAGACATTCCCCATCCCAGAAAAGCAAGTGCAAAAAGAGGAGATGTAATAAGGAGGCGCTAATTCCATACCTAAGGGAAGTAAAAATAGTTTCCAGCTGAGTAAGTCTTAAGTCTGCTGCTTAGTATAAAGCTAGGTGATGAGTGCAATAAGCATGAAGCAGAGATTGCTTGCTCCAGCTAACTGACTAAGTGCTTGTCTACAGAGCAACACTCGGGAAAGTTAAGATAAATGAACTAATACAATGAAGTTAGAGTGCATTAGTCGCAGAGCATTAAATCTCTGTGTAGATGCTTTTATTCAGAAGTAAAGTAACCTTAGATGGCTGTAATTTAATTCTTCTTGAAGGAACACTCAAAAAAATAATCTAATAATCTAAGGAAATCCCAGCAATTAATGAACTGTGGAGGCACCTGCACTTATTACAAACCACCCCAGTTACCTGTGACAGGGAAGAGGCTCGCCTCTGAGCTTGGTCACATCTTCCCCAGCACCAGACATGCACACGCTGCTCACTGCTGCGCCTGACCCTGTGCTGGATTTAGCCCTTCAACACCAAACATAAATGCCTATATAAGAGCGAAGCAATGTCTCATGAGTTACATGTTTGTACCATTTAAGATGAGGTTTAATTGCAGCAGTGAGACAGGGTTACATCCATCTGAACTGAGATTTAGATTTGACAGCTACTGGTGGTAGTCAAACTGACCATAGCATTGGCTTCACCCTGGGCTGCTGCAAGCCCATACAGCTAAATAAATACTTGACAGATGTACCTGAGCCACTACAGCTGCATTGCTATCTGTACCATGTTACCCAGTTTAAAGTTAACTCAGGTAGGTCTGTAGCTGTACCTCTAGAAATCAGGGTAGACAACCCCTGTGTAAAATGTATATATGCCATTTAACTTGTTAGTTTTGTAAACTTGTTTGATTTTCTAGTATACTGTGGATTTGCATGGTTCAGTTCTATTTATCTATTTAGCTGTGTCAGATACCTTATCTTTCAGCTACAGCAAATGAAATTATGGGGATACATTATATTTGTCTTTATAATCTCATAATAATTTATCCATATGCTAAAACACAGACAGATTTATTCTGTGATGTTTAAGATTTGCATTATCAGTAGGGCCCTATTAGCAAGTTGGTAGGGATAGGAGGGACAGATACGTGCTACCCATAGTAAATGGAATAGTTTTGAAGGGCTTAGAATCAATTTGTCAACTCAGGCTGAATTCAGAGATACTTTCTAAAAAAAACAAACCCAGAGAGATTAGTGCTAATTCAGAGGCACAAAAATATCTGTCCTAAAATCACTGTGATTTAATCTATGGCTGTCTGAGGTAGCATTTTCATCATATTGTCTTCTTCCATCCCTCACTCCAACAGTGATGTATAAGTGAAATATTATTTGGGAAAAGTCACACAATAGAACAGCCGTTTGCCACTCCTTCTCAATGCCTGTTGTAATAAGAGATATTTCCCAGAAATGCAGGTCAATTCATTTTACTGCTAACATCAGTTTTCCATAAAAATCAGAAATGATCATTTGGATTATCACTGGACCTTCTATTAGACAGAAATTGTATACTTATATCTACTTTTATCTCAATATGTTTTATTATTCTTCCTTGTTGCCAAAGTATTGCATAGTTCCCTCTTATTCACTGATAGTAATAGTAATTACAATTATAACACCTACTTCTTAAACAGCTTTCAGCAGCAGCTTAGAGCCTTGCAAAGTCTGTGTATGGCACAAAATGACAGACCCACAGGACAGCTGTCCCATTCCTCAGCCTCTCCCCTCTGGGGAACTGCTCCAGCCCTGACCCTTGCAGTGGCTACACACTGAACTCGCCCCAGTTTATTGATATTTTTCCCGTACTGGGAGGCCCGGAACTGGACGCAGTGTCTAGGTGTGGTCTCATGAGAGCTGAGTACAGGGGCATAATTTACCCCTTACCTCCACTGACTGGCCAAGCTCCTGCTCATACAGTCCAGGTGCTGTTGGCCCTCGTGAAAGTACTAATACATCAAATACCAAATTGGAAAGACTCTGTTTTGTAGAGAATTTGTTCTCATGTGTGCACGTAATCATGAAATAATTTAATTTCCATGCTCTTAAGCATGAGCAAATGCTCTGTTGAATCATTTCTCAGAGTATTTCTTCTATTCAGGATTAAATTGACTAAGTACAATAATTGAAATGGACTTTATTGCTAGAAGTTTATCAAAATATTTAATTAAAAGCAAATTTTAGGGCACAAGTTTGCCTGGCTCTTAATACTCTAAGAATCTTTCTTATAATTTCAGCCACTTCCATCTGGGATTTGCATTTATTGTATCTAGTCCTCATATTTCAGTACAATCTTTTAAAAAATGAGGTTTACTGATGGAACTCACTTGTAAATCTTGGGACTTGGATTCAGGGGGTTTGACTATTCAAAAATATGCTTAAATTATTTTTAAAACTCTAGTGTCCCCATATTTTTGCATGTATGAGTGAAATTTGTTTGCGGTGTTTGCTTCTATTAAAAACATTCATTTTACCTCTAGATCTTTCCTTTTAAAAACAATAAAAGATTGTATTTGCACATGCTTTCTGGAGGTACTTTAGAAACAGTAAAAATCCCTGAAGATTCATGCCTTTATGCTCTAGCTTGAGGCCAGACAGAATGTTTTCTTGTAATTGTTCCTCCTATGTGCAAGATGCATTTTTGGGACTAAATATGAACATGAAAAAAAGAAAAAAAATATTTGCCCTGTGCTTCAGTAAGTGTATAACAAAAGACTGCATTATCAGGTGCATGCATAAAGGGACTTAACTAATGACACCTGAATGCTTTTTTTCTGGCATCTTATAACTTCTTAGTAATCATTTCTGCAACATTAATGTTTTTCTATGTAAAGCAATGCAATTCTGTACAGATTAAATGGTACAAAGGAGGCTTTTTTGGGCAAAGCTGCAACTTCATTTGAGTTTTTAGAATACTGTGCTTGAAAAGACCTTAACTGGGATCCCTTGCTAATGGATCTGAGTTCATTGCCTGGCTAGCCCGCTGGTACCCTAAAAAATTCATTTTCATATAACGTGATTTATTAAGTAGTTGGGAAGCAGTTCTAGGCACTCCAGATGAGCCTGATTACCACAGAACCGGGAAGGTAGCACTAGAGGTGTAAAATACTATAAAAACATGTAAAGAATATATACTGAAATGAATATAATTGTGTGAGGGAGGGTGTATGTATATGCACACTATTTTTAATAAGCTTCCTTCGTGCTTCCTCCTGCCATTACTATGCACAGCACTGGTGCATCAGAGAGATGCTTATCAAATTTTATGTGGCCTAACCTTCACAGAGGAAGTTTTCTTAGGCAAAAAATCTGCACATACCCCAGGAAACGTCTTTGTTTACATGACCTCTGAAAACCAGTCCAAACCAGTTCCTCTGTGGATTTTTGGAAAGTGCCAGTTAGAGGAGATTAAACAGTCTGAAAAAGAGTAGGTTCTTAAAATGGAGGCTTTTCTTATCTCTGATACACACCTGGCTCGCTGTTAACTACGACTTCCTAACTTGGATGGCACCCACTGGCCTATAAATTTGCTTTCTTCCTTGCCCAGCACACTTCACGCCTTTTGCACCAGAGGAAGTTCCTCAGCACTCTACTTCCTTGCACCTTTGCTACAAAAAAAAGATTCCTGAATACATTTGGGCAGGAGAATCTTATTATGAATGTGCATTTACAATATAGCCACACAAACATAAAATAACGCTATTTGTTAATGCTAAGGTATACATGAATTTTCAATCAATTACAGTCTGTGCCAACTGATCTTCGAATGCTTCTATAATACAACAGTGGTAACACATATGGTTAACAAATACACTATATTACATACATATACGTAGGTAAACAGATAAAAAAAATAAAGTTACCTTTTGGTGCTGTTCTTTTTTCGTGTCTCTCTTGTTTCGGTTTATGAATTTCTGAAAACGGTGCATTGCAGAGTTATCAATATTAAAATAATTTATACACAAAAATATCAGATGCATTCTCATAATAAAAAAATAACTAAGTGCTTCAAATATTACAGTAGAGTCATAGCTTTACCGTCTGCATATTCAGATTTATATTCAATAAAGTTCAATTGTATATTTACAAGCAGACAATATATATGGACACAAACATAATATGAAGTGACTTTAATACCTATTCTGGTTTTAACTGAGCAATACAGCTACTTTTGAAGTCAAGAATAGGTTTTGCTCATCTGTAGCAGCTATAGAGTAATATGTTGGTCATGAATCAGAAAAAGCATGCTTTTACTAAATATTTTTCTGTACATGTCTTGAGTTGTTTAAGGGGATTAGTGTTTTATGTTTCCTAAATTATTTTTTGAAGGAAATTACTTTTTACTTCACTTTCTAAATTTTTAAAGCTCAAATGCTCCATTGGTAGCTCCAACACACAATAAAAGTTAGACTTAGTGCTGTATAGAAATTACAGAGATAAAAGTTCCAAGGTTAGGGATCGTTGTCTCAGAGAATTACTCATTTTAATCATGCTGTATACCAACGCACTGACAACTGCCTTGTTAGAAGAGGAGAGTAGCACAGTGTTTTCCTGCCCTTCTTCCTGCCATCTCTTTCAAACAAAACTCCCCACCCATGACACTGATATTAAATTATTGCTATATACCTCTGTAACTGATTTTTTTCTACTGTCCTTATTGTGCCAAAACCAGGTAATATCAAAATTGCAAAATGTTGAATTTGAGGAAAAGCAAAGAAGAATTAAATCAAGCTTGCATACCACTGCATGCAGCGGTAGAAATTTAAAGGCCATTTATTGGAGGTGCGCAATAAAGTCATTAAGACTAAACAGAGTGTCTGGTTTATGGTATTACGCATATATTTCCTGCAGTAGGAACCTGGTATTAAATACTGGATCAAATTAATCTTCAGATTGGTCTGCAGGGTCTAAATAACAAGAACACTGACCCAAAAATTAATCCAACAGCAGAAAAGTTATGCATATTACATTTCAACTCTAAGGAGCTACTTTAATCCCTATTGAAGACAACTGAAATATTCCACTTATACCCTTAGTTTTTGCTCAGGTTGTAACAGGATGCACATTGACAAAAAGATACAGTAGAAAATGGTATTTTCCCTTCCCAAGACTTTGATGTTTGCACAGGTCCTTGAAAATAAATACAGAATGTTTATATCGGATAGTATTTGCCATCTGAAATAATGATTGTGCCTGGTTTGCAAGAAATATAACTATTCTATGGCATCAGCCTATGTTGTCTTTGTACAGAGAGAACATTATTTCACTGAGATAAAGGGTAATAAAAGCCAAAACATGTATCACTTAACCACTTATGTATGGCAGCATAACTAAGCTAATTATTTGATGTCATTAAGCTAAAAGAACTTTCTCTTCAGTTTTCATCTTATCCCTTGCAGCCTGGGTGTGTAGTTCATTTATTGTTCTATAAACCTCAAAGGTTGTGATTAGGAAGAAATCATGCCATATTGATTTACTCTATTTCAGCTGAGCCTGGATTATTTTTCTTTCTGCAACTATGTGAGGATTTCTTTTCTGTCAACTGAGAGGATCTAGTTGCTGGATTTTCAAGACTTTCCCACTTGTTACACTTAAAAGGATGCATAAACTAGTGTAGGTAGCATAAGTAGTAGGAATGGTGCAAGACAAGAACAGCTGGAGGATTGCTCCCTCGTTCTGAGCAGTTCTCCGTGCTGCTGCTCCAGACTGCCTCCAAACCCTCACTTAGTACATCTAAATAAAGCTGAGTCACTTCTTCTGCATTGCAACATAGAGTGGAGACATACCTCACCCAGCTCAAGAGGTCATCCTGCACAGATACCAGTTGCAGATGTTGCCCACTAAGTGATAAATCACATTCTTCAGGTGGAATCATCTATGCGGACACATATTCCCTCAGCCCCGCTAGGTTCTCACCATATATTTTGTGTCTCACTACAGAAAATATGCCTTTTTTTCTCAAAAAAATAGGTGCAAACCTTTGTTATTTCTAAAAAAAGGCTTTTGAAATTACTGTGGTTTTAGGGAATTTCTTATTGCTAGTCGGACTGCAAAATATATATGAAACAATGACTGTCGAGCTGTCCATCTAAACCAGCCTCACACTATGTCAGCGGTGATGCTTGCTTGACACAAATACTTCAGTAAGATACACAAAAAGATACTTTCTAGACAGCTGCACTGAGAATCTCATCTAACTTGCTGTTACAATTAGGATACTGCACATCACAGGAAACCCTACACAAATTCCTTGAAGTGAAATACATCTTCATAATACATAAATGTGTGTATATATGTTTTTGTATACTGCAAAGTGTGCCATCATTAAGATCTCTTCACAAGCTCCCTGTTACAGTTTGAACCATCATAAAAAATTGCAGCCTGGAACACATCAATTCTGATACATTACAACCTAAATTTTCCCAGTACAAATAAATCTAGTCTCAATATGTGCTGATCTTGATCAATTTACAAGGCAGAAAAGAGTGACTCTTTGCTAACTCCAAAATATTTAAAATAAGGAAACACATTAGATTATTGGAGACTTTTTTTTTTTTTTTGTTCTGAGAGTGTTGATACTCTCTGGTTCATCTTTTATGACAAATAGCTTTAATTTTCCAGTAATCACATCATATCTTATTGCTGAGTTGACAGAGCGGCTATAATAGCATAGAAGACTTACATGGCCAGTTTAAAGCATGTAATTTATCTCTATCAATGTGACACATTGTTAATAAATCCTAAATATTATGAATTCGTGTTTAGAAAAATGACAGAATCAAGGAGTAGCAAGGATAATCTTAGTCACCACGGCAACCATCCTGATTCTTTATGAGATGACAGCGTGGTTTATTAAATTATTGTAAGGGAGTATGTATTTTAAAAGCTGTATTTCATTGTTTGTTTTCTTCGGTTATCAAGCAGACAAGAAAAATTATCTTTCCCCTTGTGTTTCTTGAGTTTTGAATGGATAAGTACTCTATTTCCTTAAATATGGATACTGCTTGACACCAGCTTCTCTAGACCTCGGGTCTTGTGCAGATATGCAGAAGGTGCAGGGTGATTACTTCAAAGAACTCCAAGAAGGGAGTCATTTAAACTGACCGTTTCAAGATGCTGAAAGGAGATATATTCGACTACACTATTAGCAGGCTGATATATCTATGTACTGTTGACCCAAAGCAGGTCCTCACAGTCAGCTGAGGATCAGTATCACAGGCAGCTTTACTGGAAATCCCTGCTTAACATGCAGTTTGGGCACCACTTCCCTCACCTCTCACCCTGCTCATTTTCATTAACAGCAGCTCACAGTGTCTAACGACAGCCCGGCACTGGCTGCACACTGCAAAGCTCCAGCTCCGGAGAGGTGGTGGTGCAGCGATGTGCAGGTTTGCACCAGCGAGAACAAAGAGGCACAGCCCCTCATGGTAGGGCATGTGAAGATTCTCCTGGTCCCTGAAAGAGAATTCCCTTCTTCATCTGCTCTCGTGTTTCCGATTTTGATTTTTTGTTATCTCCTTTTTAATATAGTAAAAAAAATAGCATCATTCTTAGCTATTTTAATTGTATTGTATTATGATAGAACCTATGGGACTCAGTCCACATGAAATGCTTTAGGTACCACATGATATAAAATCCCATTTCTGTAACACAGGAGTTCAAACTTTAAGAAGGTGGCGTTTCTTCTCTTAGTGGGAAAGCACAACCTTGCATCTTGCTTCATTAGAGGATGAAGTGGTGAGTAGCAATCTGGCATTGCTTAAACAGCTCCCAGACCTCACCCTCTGCTGAGTTTCCATCTTACGGATGAAATATACCTTAAAAAAACCCAACAAACCAAATAAAAAAATGTCAATGTTATGAGAGGCAAAGTAAGAAAAAAAACACTTATTTTCCCCATCTGAAACACAAGAACGCTTTACTCAAGGTAACCCAGAAATTCAGCAAAAGAACGGGGAATTTAACTCTGATCCCTGACATTCAATATTATCCCCTCATGCTTAAAGCCATCCTGTTTTTACTTAAATACTGCAGTGAGGATGCAACGTAGGTTTAATGTATCTACTGTTTTAAAGGTATAATTGAACTGATGGAATTTCACTTGAAATTATATTACGTTGTTCTTTCTAAGCAAATTTTACCAGTTGGTTGTCTTTTTCATAATCTCTTACAGGTAACACAACAATATACACCTTCAGTGCTTTGACATTCTTTCTCTTCTAAATATCTAAGAGTGAAAAGGAAAATGAGTCCTATTCAGAGTCCTGGTGAAACAGAGGTTAATAATTTGCTTTTTAGCAGTCAAAACCCTTACTGCTATACCCAGCAATTTAACGGGGCTATATCCTTGCTAGTTTATCAGGACTAATTGGTATCAGGCAGCTGATTATACAGAAGAGTTGGTGGAAACAGATACTGAGGGCAAGGCAAGAATGAGTGGTGTTAAGAGCTTTAGAAGATGAGAGGGATGTCATTTCTAATGTGTTTCTAGATGCTGTCTGTATGAAGAATTGTAGTCAACTCTCTTGCTGCTGGTATCCTCAGGAGAAATTTGCAATTGTGCAGCTGATGTCTATTTTTAATCGAGATAGTACCAGCTGGTGAGGGTGACAGTTACCCTTGTGGGGCTAGGAGGAGAATAAAGGAGTTTGTGCATTAAAGCAACTTCCAGCTAACTACTAATACATCATGTAGCTGTACTCTAGATGAAAAAAACCCAAATTCTGCAACTGGAAAAAATGTGGGAAAGAAAAAAAAAAAAAAAAGAACAGGAAATATTTATTGGAGAATTAAATTGGTGCATTATGCCTGTATCCAGGAACTAAAGACAGTGTAACAGAAGGCTTTGAGTACCAACATTCAATGTTAGAAAGTCTGAGTGACACATATGACTAATTTAGGTGACTTCCCTTCT